CTACATCCTCTCCAGATGAGGCACCAGATATCTCAATTAAAAAATCAGAAATTTGAGAACACGAAATAAGAGGGGGCATCGGGATGGAGAAACTGACGGATGGCGAGATGATGTCGGTCTGCAACGTGATCTCATGTGTTAGCTTCTGGCCGGAAGACAGCTGCGGTCTCACACATGCAATGCAGTTTAATGAAGAAAGACTGAACGTGCAAAAACGAGCTGGATTTGCTGTCAAAGAAGTGCAGGCCTACCAGGAAGCAAGCAGTCTCAGGCGACGATGTGAAACCATTTATTTGGTGTGCAGTACCACATTAAAGTTTCATGACAAACAGGGCAGAGCTGTGTGATGTCAGGAGTTCACTGCTATTAGTGTAATCCTGGCATTAAATCACCAGATTTTACTGAAGAAACAATAATTTTCTAAATCAATTTTCTTCATACTCCTGCTTTTCTTTTTGCCATTTGTCATGTTTAATGTTGTGATTCGACTTCTTGCTTCAGTCTTCATTACGTAGCCACGGCTTGATGAACATAAATTATGTACAACCGTATTTATTCAAACATACATCAGGTCGAGGTTTGATATCTTTCTCTGCCTGTCTTTGCGCTTTGTTCTCCAATTATGAACAGATGTCAGCTGCTATGGTTGAGCTCTTAAATCACCACAAATCATCATGTCACCCACTTGCGAACAGACCTGCATATGCACACTGACACACACGCACGTGCTCATTAAAACTCAAAACCGCATTTTCATGCGCACATGCACCGGAAGCACGCCTAAATGCAAGCGTGCACGCACATACACACGGCTCCGAGCCATTTCCTTCCGTCCTTTTTATGCACAGTTTCCCAATTCTGCTCCAGACATGCTTTCATTGTCATCGCATCTGGTTTAAGCTATAAATTTTCTATAATTCATTGCTCTAGTAAGAAAAAAAATTCACAATATGAAAAGACAAAGTTAAAGAAAAGCGAATAAAGGAGAACAAAAGAGAAGAAACTCCATGAAAAGACTGTGGGAGTACGAAAGAGAAGCTCGCCTCGCCTTTTCAGTTTTTTTGAAGGTCACTGTGGTTTGTAGAGCAGAAAAAAAAACTTTTTTGGTTTCACTTTACTGGTGGTCCAATAAATCTTCTCACAACGACACATGAACATACGCGCATGCAAAAGTCCTCAAATAAACAACCACACGCTCACACAAACACATTTTACTTACAAACATTTTCCAACCTACACACAATAAAAGAACGAACCCTTCAAAGAATCTTCCAATTTCCCCACATCAACAAAAGCCTGCCTTCACAAAATGCCTCTCCATGCCTTCCAACCGCTGCGGCGGAGTACAGTGGGTGTTTTACGGCAATCGAATGCTAAAACATCTGGGGAAAATAGGAAACTGTGAAAATATTGGTACAAATTAAACGTGGTTGTAGGAAAACGAGCCAGCTGACTGGGGGAAGGAGGAATGAGCGCTGATATTGGGTGCTAATAAGAAAAAGGTGTTAAATGATACTCTTGGTTAGAAATTGAGAGGGAAATACAATAAGATGCAGGTGTGGGCTCATTACTGTGAAACAGACCGGTCATAAGATAATTAACACAGGACCACACAGGTAAGGAGGGGAGATGAAAGCGAAGAGGACGTTTGGTGGAAGCAAGGAAGCGAAACAGTGAGAGAACCCTTAGCAGAGCAGCAAAGTACCACAGAGGTCCACAGAGTAAGCTATTACAACAAGCTCTGAGCATCCTTACCAATGTAGATTGCTTGAGTCTGCAAGCCATGA